CTTGTGAATTCTCAATTGCTATGAAAATTGATGTTGTAGTTGTGAAATAATTGTTTGGAATTTTCTATCAAATAACAAAAAAATAATAATAATAAAATGATGATGATGTAGAAGAGCATGTAAAATTTTATTGTTGAATTGTATTTAGAAGTATGAAGCATTCATGCATCCATTGGGAAATAAAGGAAAAAAGGGAAAGGTTTTTTTTTGGAAGCAAATGAAATTGTTTTGAGAAAAATGGTTTTGAAAAGTGTTTGCGAAAGCCCGGACGCCTAGGAGGCGCCTAGTGGTCCGTGATGTTAGTGTGATCTAGAGGGAGTTAGAGAGAAACTCTAGTGGGGGTTGAGCTACCTAGGCCCAGACGACGCCATGAAGGTGCCATGTGGTTGGGGAAAACTAGCCAATCCTTCCTTCGTGGCGCCATAGAGGTGCTATGGGCCGGATTGCATTAACGGTTTGGAATGGTAAAGAGGATTTGTTTTGGAAAACGGGGAGTGACATTGGCATGACAATGCATTTCAATAGCATTTTTGGCGTAATTGTGATTTAGATGACATTTGTGTTTATATTTGACGTTGTGGTTATGGATTACACCCCTGGTATAGTATGATCTCGTTCTCTTGATTTCTATTATATATGTGGATTCACGGGGTCATGAGAGGTATGTCTAAGACACCTCCTACTGAGCTTATGATCACCCCATTATTTTAACATTTTTCAGGTTTGGGAAAGGAAGTGGTGGACGACGTTCCTCTACATGTTTTGATGGGTTAGTGGACTGTTTGACCTATTTTGTAGTTATGATCTCATTTTATTATTAGTATTATTATTAGGGAAAACTACACATAGGTAGTGTTAGGAATCCTAAATAACAAAATGGTCGATTTTAAAAGTTTATTTTTCAATTTGATAACAAGACAATTACAAATACATCAATAATTATTGTTAAAGTCTCAAATACCCTTTTTGTAATCTGACTTACTTTTTAGTTGTCATGGAATATGCCTCTTTAAGTGTGCTTGTTTCATTCCTAAATAAAATTGATTAATTATCAATATATATATATATCAAAAAAAGTTTTCCTGAATTAACTTTTCAAATTGATTTCATATATGTATATTTTTAGTGAAACCAAATTTACAAGATTATAGAATAAAATAAAACAGCAAAATAAAATAAAACGTACCAATAGAAACATATATTATTTGCTAACATAAGGGGTATCATCACATGATCCCAACAAAATAATATAGCAAGTACTAATATTTCATTCTCAAGACAATGGTCATATTTACTATAAAATTAAGAAAAGAACTTAAAGAAGTATTGCATGCAGTAATAAGTCATATGCTTTACACCATAATATTGGTACACCATAAGATCTTATTACAAATTTTATATTTCAAAGAGTGTTTTGTGTCTTTTATTAGACTTTTACACTATAATATTGGTACGTACGTTTATTGGGTAGGTTGATGTTGGTACGTTTATTTTATTTTGCTTTTTAATTTTATTAAATAATTTTGTAATTTTTTTTTTTGTTAAAATAATTTTGTAAATTTGGTCTCACTTACAAATTAGACATAAATCACTTTGAAAAGGTAATCCGGAAAACTTTCTTTGATATATATATATATATATTGATATTTAAGCAATTTTATGAAAGATGGAAACAAACAACTCAACAACAACAAAGCAAGTCATATTACAATGAGGGTATTTGAGACTTTAATAATAATTCTTGATGCATTTGTAATTATTTTATTTAAATCAATCAAATTGAAAAATAGTCTTTTAAAATAGATCATTTTGTTATTTAGAACTCCTAACTCTGCCTATACGTAATTTTCCCTTATTATTATTATTATTATTATTATTATTTATAAACCCTGGGATGACACGTATATTATGTATTGCCATAGGAAAAAATGGTAACGTCTTTTGTTGACCTCGGGTTCGGGTAAGGACCCGGTTAACGATTTGGACCCTCGGGTTCGGGTCGTTACAATTAACTCTATATAATCAAGAGTGCATTTTATCAAATCTAATACAACGTACATAGATATCCACATAGTTATACTTCCAAAAGCAAGCTCACAATATTATCCACATAACCTCAAAAGTAAGAATAACATATATACACACCCTTATCCATATAGCCTCAAAAGTAAGTATGACACTTATATAAACAAATACGAAATTTATAACATCAAGTAAGCACCTTGGCTATCAACTAATATCGCAATAACAAATCCAATAAACATATTAGGCATGAAATCAATAACAATATCATTAAATTACCATTAACAAGCATTACTAACCCAAGTATGCAATTCTAAATACACACACACAGACACACACACACATACATTTATGCATGTATAACACATTCTAACTCACAAAACGCAAAGAAATCGTAGTCTTGCAACACACCTGTATCTCATTGAGATGAAAATCTCAAAAACTCCAAAAGTGAAAGTGCTCCAATCGAGCTACAAATTCGAATAGTTGACGAAGATGACAAGGAGAACAATAAAGCCTCCTATGGTTGGCTCCGAATCCGACTTTGAAATCACCTCCAAAATCTCAAAATGCCTGGAGTTGAAAATAGAAACAAGGGTTTTGAAGCCCTTGGTGTCCCTGTCGTTTCTCTCTTCTACGGCGTTGGCAAAATCCAACTGAAAGGAGATGAAATTGGCTCATGAAGCCTATACCCAAAAAGAAAACGAAAAGAAGAAAATTAAGAAAAGCGAAAGAAAAAAGTGGGGAAGGGGAATCCAGCCCCCGGTCTCCCTCTCTCTCACCTCCAACATATATGTATATGTGCACAAAAATTTTTCCTGCGGGCCTATTGATTTCCAAAAATTGCAAAAAAGAACCAAAAAATAAAATATCTAAAAAATAATAACGCAAATGCCCCAAAATAAAATATAATGTCCAATGTGTCCCAAATGAAATATTAATGTCCACAATATCCCAAAATAATAAAAGCAATGTGTTGGAGAGAAAAAAAATTCCTGAACACTTTACCCAAGACCCGAAAATGTCAAAAAACGAAAAAAAGGACAGGTCCTCGCATTAAAGCCCAGTTCTTTACCTATTTATATTTAATGAATCTCATGCAGTGGGATCATTAGAAATTGAGTTTAATAATATTAGTTTGCTTTGTATCTATTTATTTTTATACTGAAATATTTGTTTCGATTTCTCCCGTGACATATGTATAGTCGAATCATGTAAATCCTTGTTTCATTTTTGTGTGTGCCTATTTTATTCTCTTGTCATTATTTTTTCTCTTATTCTCATCAACTCCTATTCGATCCTTATTTCATAACAATTTACTTACTTGAAAAATAGTTGAGGGAAATATTAATGTCAACAAGCATAAATGGAAAAGCTAATTTTTTTTAAAAAAACAAGCATAAATGGAAAAGCTGCGGAAATTGTGGTGCCACATTCACATATGTTGTATTAATGGAGAGGTTCACAAATACCATATAAATTCACAAACGTTAAATCATTTGATCAAAATAAAAAATAGTACGTGTGTTGTGGGGTCGATACACGTGCTCTAAAAAAAATAAATAAATAAATAAATAAAAGAATAATCAAGAAGGCCAAAATTCCAAGGTATTAGACCCTTCCTTGATTTTTTGACACTTCCGCGAAACTTCATGATTAATTACTATCAAGACCGCAAAGTAAATGAAGACCTTAAATGGTCTTCCTGGTCTTTTGGACAAGTCAAGGAAGTCCACGCTTTTAACATATACTCCTTATGTCTTAAATTTCTTGAATTTTTTGGGAATTTAATTTTGTATGTTAGTAGGTTTTTACTATTAATTTTTTTTTTTTATTGTATTAATAAAATTGAATTTTCAAATTTCATTGCTACAAGATATTACCTCTGTCTCAAAAAGAATGTCTCTTTTTGAGAAGTGTGACTTACTTGTGTTCGGTTACATGAAATTAAAAAAATTTTGTGTTCGGTTGCATGAAATTAAAGTTTTGGAATTGGAATTGGAATTGCTGGAACTTGAGAAAAATAATTAAAAAATTGAACCAAAATTTTCTCAAATTCTACCGATTTTAATTCTAATTCCAAAGCTTCAATTCCATTTAGCTGAACACGCCCTTAGGGCAAAAGAAGGAAGATATAAATAAGAAAAGAATGACGTAGGAAAGGGGAGTGTTTTTGTGTGAGAAATTTTTTCCATTTGAATACTGAGAATTCTTGTACGCATAGTTTTGGAGTATATCAGATTGGATTATTGGTCATTACACACGAATCAGGGCAAAGATGCTTGGTCTTCCTCTCTACTATACTAATTGCTGCCAACGCTCTTCATGATTATTTTCAGCATTGCCAAGTGACGCTACAAGTTTGAGTCAAGTTTTGATTCTTTGACATATGTGAGACAGACACAACTCTAATGCTTCGTTTGGTTGGAGGGATGGAAAAATGGATGGAAGAGATAGAGGGATGGATGGATGAGGAATCCCTAGGGAACGGAAGATGTTTCTTCCATTTTTTGTTTGGTTGAATGGAATGAATAGTAGAAAGGATGGAAGGAGTGATACTTTTTTTTTGTTTGGTTAGAAGGAAGGGAAAGAGATTTTATATATTTTTTTACCAATATATCATCACTGTTTAAAATAATAAAAAATAAATATCCATTTAAATTTTTTTGAAAAGGTTAAAATTGAAAATTGCATATTGTTGGTAGTTATTCATTTTCTCTCTCCTCCCTTCCCCCAAAATTGGGCGGATAGAAAAATATGAAGAAATGAGGAATGAAGCATCCCTCCTTGCTTCCTCCATCTCTTCCCTTCCCTCCAACCAAACACGAAAAGCCTCATCCATCCCTCCTCTCATCCATCCCTCCTCAATCCATCCCTCCAACCAAACATAGCATAAAGATCACCTAAATTATTCTGTGAACATATCATCTACGCTCTATCATTTCATACTTTTTATTGACTCACTAAATTTAATGGATCGATTGCACAAATAAACATCTTGATTTATTAGATGTTGTAATACAAATGCATAAAGTCAAATAGCTGGTGCATAAGATTATTGGATTAATTGATCAAATACGTATCATGATTCATTAGCTGTGACAGTGAAATGCCCTGAAGAGATTTAGCTAGAGGGGCCTTGGAAGCAAGAAACTCTTGAGAAATCCGTAGCATTGTTGGTCGAGACTTTGGTTCAGAATGCAAGCAAGCAAATGCCAATGTAGCGACCAGAACAATATTTTGTGCAACCAGTCCATGCTCTGGAGCTTGGAGGCGTGCATCTAACACATCACTTAGCATTATGGTTTGAGTAGATGTTGACGCCAATGATTGGAGAAGTTCTCCCGGATGTCTTCCCATAAGTGTTTCGAGTGCCACCACCCCAAAGCTATAAACATCGCACTTTTCATTCACGACCATGGTGTAGGCAAATTCTACATAAACAACAAAGATAGTTAATCAAATGTTAGAAAATGGTTCATGATGTTTTGGGATTTGATTCCAAATTAGAATGCTCACATCAATAGCTACTCAAGAGATATTACTAATTAAACCCCTGTGTTTTTACAAACAGAAAACAATGGAATTTTATTTTATTTTTTTGTTGAAATTGCATATGAAAAATAGTTTACCTGGGGCAATATATCCGTAAGTGCCTGCAAGTATAGTTTGGTTTGATGAATCAGGATACAACCGTCTAGCTGTGCCAAAATCAGAGACAAACGCCTCCAATTTCGAGTTCAGCAGAATGTTGTTGCTTGATATGTCGCGGTGAACAATTGGTGGATAACAATCATAATGCATGTAAGACAAAGCATGTGCAATGCCTTTAATGGTGTTCACCCTCCTAGTCCAATTCAATTCCACAGCTTCAGCATCATCTCTCAAGACACAGAATAGGCTTCCCCTTTCCATGTACTCGTAAACCAAGAACATGCAACGCTTGTGCAAACAGAATCCATAAAGTTTGACAATGTTCCGATGCCTTATATTTGTTAACATTCGCACCTCATTCTTGAAGCTCTTGTCGAAAGCTGGCTCCTCAGCTTCTAACTTGTGAAGTTTCTTCAATGCAACTACTTTGCCACTCGGCAGCTCTGCCTTGTAAACACTGCCATAACCACCTGTTCCAATGCAGTATTTTATATCGAAGTCATTTGTTGCTTCAATTAAGTCTCCATATGCAATTCCTCCATCATAATTCCACACTGAGAATATATCTGTATTCTTCATTTCCCTTCCTTCTAACTCGGTATTTTTCCTTATCTTTTTACGATAGCAGCAGTACACAATTCCAAGAATGAAGAAAGCAATGGAAATGATGATGCCAAGCAAAAAAATGACCATGACTATATATCTCTTTCTCTTCCGGTTGGTAGAGCCAATGGTCGCGGGACAAGGAGGGAAATTATAGACTCCGCCACATAAACCTTTGTTGCCTTTCATATACACCATTGCAACTTGAAGACCTTCTGGAACTTCTCCCTCCAAATCATTGTATGAGATATCAATTTCCATCCAATGAGCAGGGCTAAATGAACTGGGAATGGTGGAGAAATTATTGTGGGAGAGGTTCAAGTAATGTAGATTTTTCATACTTCCTATTTCTTGGGGGATGGAGCCACTAATATGATTGGAAGAAATGTCAAGGCGATTGAGCATGGACAACTTTCCAATTTCAAGGGGAATAGAGCCATTGAATTCATTTGAAGAAAGGGACAGAGATTTCAAATTTCCAAGATTTCCAATTTCTAGGGGGATAGAGCCATTGAATTCATTTGAAGAAAGGGACAAATATTCCAAATTTTGAAGATTTCCTATTTCTGGTGGGATGGAGCCGCTGATATGATTGGAAGAAATAGAAAGTTGTTTGAGCATGGACAACTTTCCAATTTCCGGGGGGATAGAGTCGTTCAATTGATTCGAAGAAAGCAACAAATATTCCAAATTATCAAGATTCCCTATTTCCGGGGGGATAGAGCCATTCAATTGATTCAAAGCAAGCCACAAATATGTCAAATTTTGAAGATTTCCAATTTCTGGGTGGATGGAGCCGCTGACATAATTGAAAGAAATGTCGAGGCCGAGAAGTTGGGTGAGGTTAGCCAAGGAGAGAGGCAGCATACCTGTAATATTATTGTCATAAAGTTCAAGGAAATTGAGTTTCCACAACCTTCCAATTTCTAAGGGTATAGAGCCATTCAATTGATTTGAAGCAAGCCACAAAGATGTCAAATTTTGAAGATTTCCTATTTCTGGCGGGATGGAGCCGCTGACATGATTGGAAGAAATGTCGAGGTCGTGTAGTTGGGTGAGGTTAGCCAAGGAGAGAGGCAGCATACCTGTAAGATTATTGTAATAGAGATCAAGGGAATTGAGTTTCCTCAACCTTCCAATTTCTAGGGGGATAGAGCCATTGAATTCATTTGAAGAAAGGGACAAAGATTTCAAATGTTCAAGATTTCCTATTTCTGGGGGGATGGAGCCGCTGACATGATTGTAAGAAATGTCGAGTTCGATTAGTTGGGTGAGGTTACCCAAGGAAAGAGGCAACATACCTGTAAGATCATTGCTTTGAAGTCGAAGAGAATTGAGTTTCGACAACCTTCCGATTTCATACGGGATGCGTCCGTTGAGCTCACAGTAGCTGAGATCCAGACTTAGTAAGTTTGGAAAGGAAGACATGTTCAATTTCTCCAGCTCTCCAACTACTTCATAGTAGGAACTAGAAAGGTCTATCCCAATGACATTTCCAAACCCATTGCAAGATATTCCTTTCCACTTACAGTGAGTTGTGGAAGTGTTAACTGGAATAGTGTTCCCCCACCAACCAGTGCAGAGAAGAGCCTCTGCTTCCTCTGTTGATGATGAGGATTTTGATAGAATAGAAGTTGCCATTAACATAATAATAGCAGCTATTAATACTACTACAACTGCACGATATTTGAACGACGCCATGTTTATTTGCACAATATATAGATCAATGGATGGATGCATTTGGTTGTTGTACTTAGAATATATATATATATATATATATATATAGCATTAGACTTACAGTAGGCAAAGCAGGGAGTCAAGCCATCTCCGCTAATTTCTTCCAAGTTTCCTGCTCAACTTTGTGGCTATCACCATCCCCAATGTAAGCGATTATTCAAAGGTGTAATAAGTGACTAATGGATTATTCGATTCAAATCGTCCACGAATGGGACCTTAAATAACAATAATATATAGTGGGGATATTTATAGAAATTGAGTGAGAATATTTCAAAAAAATTTACAACAAAATTTATAAAATTTATAAGTAATTTTATAAATAAAAAAATGTCAGTGAAGGCAAATTGCCCTTAATGGGTCCATCCCCTAACTATTATAATAATTAATTATAATATATACATATATATATAAAGTGCAATATCATGAAACCTTATATGAAATATAGGTGTTTTTTTAGTTAGTAAACACACTCATGCCTCTCCTAATCTTTTACCTTCTTTTAGAAAGTAGGAGAATGATCCTTAATGAGCCACTTGTTTTTTAATAATATTTTTGTGTATGGTGAATTGAACTGTTTATAAACATCAGGAATTTTATTATCGTGAAGATTGTTGAAATTACATTTGATTTGTGACCTGAAAAATAAGATAATCCAAAGCAATATAAACCACTCATTTGTTGTGATAAAAGTTTTATCCACGTCATAATAGACGGGGTCTTTTAGTCCAAGTCAAGCTCATTGACGCATTTATTAACGTATGAGAAGGGAATGATTTTTGCATAAATACTACAAAGACTTTGTCGTTTGACCCAAAAGTAACACGTTAATTCGGAAAAAGTTCTCCCGTTACAAAATTGTCAGAAAATCTCATCCTGACCATGCTTTGTTTCCAAATAGACGGAAAAATAAAAATAAAAAATAAAAAATAAAAAACTACTTAAATAAAAATAATAATAATAAGCTACTTGAACACATTAGATGAGATGTAGAAAAAAAAACCAACCACCACATAATAACACACAAACTTCAAACTAAAACAGCTGATTAACAGCACAACCTAATTATGATTTCTCCGTATATTGCAAAGATAAAAGTGAACAATATTTGTACATTTCCTTCTTCCATTCCATATAATTACTTGGCATGGACCGATAAAATCCCTCTGTACAACCTATATCACATTGCCTCATGTGATTATCACGTATTTATTTAATAAATATAGATCCTCTCCAATAATATTTCTCCTTTTTCTTGGTAAATCTCATGTGTATGGGAGGGAATATGATTATAATCATTTTAATCTCAAAAGGTCACAATCGTATTTTCATAAAGAAGATAGGGAAATTTTGTCATAACATCTAAAATATTATGAATAAACAAAATCCAAACCCGAGGGGATGTTACTATATTAAAAATCTATTTCGAACACATGGACAAACCTCAAGACGTGGGAGTGTAATATACCTTAAGAAAACACATAAATACACAAGCAACAAGCATTGCACAAAGGGTGAAGACCAAGACTAAGGACAAATGGTTAAGCATGACTAGCGCTCAAAACCTAATGAAAACAAAAACTAAATCAGACAACTCACTGTCACAGTGCTTCTATTGGAACTCATATTTAAAATTTCATATTCCTAGCATTAAAGGTCATTTTCTCCTATGAATAGAACAGGAGACAGGCTCAAAGTTTTAAATGATTAGATTAAGGATAAAAAATGAAGGAAATATTAATATTCAATGAAATAATGCATGCAAAGACATACCGGACAAGTAATAACTGGCAGTCTCATATTAAAAATCTCATAAATAAGCTGTTTACTAAATCAACTTTGCCCACGCCTATGGACAGCCTAACCAGCCAACAGTGGCTTAGAAACCTTCATTTCGTCCAGCTCCACTAACAAAACCTCCACCACGATAACCGCCACCACCACCAAAACTTCCACCACCGCCACTTGATCTTTCAGTGGCATAAGCCACACGAATGTTCCGCCCATTCAAATCCTGAAATAAAATAAGTTAAAAAATATAAATATAAGACTGAAGTATAACTTCATCATACTTCCCCAAACATTCTAATTCTCACCTGTCCATCCATAGCAGTCATCGCAGAGCTGGCAGATTCCTCGGAGGAGAAATTTACAAACCCGAATCCCCTAGACCTCCCACTCTCCCTATCAATGATAACCCTCACTGTGAACCAAAACCACAAAAACCTTGAGTGTGCAAAAACTATGGACGACAGCAGGAATTCAAAGGAAAAGAACCAAACTGAAAGAAACGAAGATTATTATCTACTAAATAACCCAAAAGACAATAATAATCGCAAGAATCAGCAGCATGTGACAATAAAAATTCATAAATAAATTGAACAAGTCTACCTATTTTAGTAGGAAAGCAAGAGCCCGTTATTGTCCCTTTGGAGATTCAAATCCTCAACCTTCCATTTGGAAGGAGTAGATTACCAGGTATACAAAGCCTTTGGTAACTAGTCTACTTTACATAAATTAAAATTTCTGAGTTCTTTATATTTTTTCAAATCATAAATATATTAGAGCAAGTCAGTCTATTATAATTGTCTCATTTCCCTAAACTTGAACTCCCAAAAAAGTCTGCAAATTGCCCTTTATCAACCAATCAAAAACTCAATACTTGCATTAAGATAAAACAAGGGACATAGAAGCACTAAAGAAGAAATAAAGTGTTTATTATATATATAAATATGAACATTTGAATGTATTTATTAACGTAGTCAGGTCCACATGTCCTAATTTTTTGGACAGCATACTGACAACTCATGTCCCTGTGGACACTCGTTTGCAAATTATAGGTGAAATAATACAATTATCTAACTGAAGGATGATCCAAGAAATTTTCCAACATTAAATTGGAAATTCTCCATCAAATATTTCAGTGTTACTACATACCCACATTTAGAAATGAATAGAGAGTTATATGCATGTAACATGTCATGATCGAAAAATTATAAGCTACATAAGAACAGATCAATAAATTAGTTGTTCCTGTACAAGGTAATACGATTCTATAGCAATTGAAAATTTTAAGTGCATAAAGTTCTGCTATGAAGAAACTTGAATATAATAAGAATAATGATGTATGTAATAAATCCAATTCGAAAATGCATCTTTAAGAGACTGGTCATCAGTTCCCCATGAAAGACCTGAAAAAATAGATTAAAAATAAGTTTTCAGAGAATAGACATGAAACTTAAATGTACTAATTTAGATTTGTTTTGCTAAATAACATTATTCAAGTATACACCTCCGACAAAAAGCTTTGAAGATGACATGCAACGAATACTGTTAATCATAGATGCCATAGGAACTTGTCCAATTACTGCACTGTTTTGTGAAATGGTCTGCCTCAAGAGGCCTCCGAATCTATTGCAAAATGCCATTTTGATTGTAGACTATCCTTGTGTATTCCAAGAATCTGTATGTATATATGAGGCATAAGAGTCCAACTATGTCACTTTCCATGCTTCATGTTTCAAATACATTAAATTGCAAGAATTTGTGCAAAATTGATGAAACATTTCACACAAACGATGGTATTCTAACATATATTACCCAAAAGACATGGGTAACTCCATATTACCTAGTCATGTTTCTTGTTGCTTTAGGGTGCCATGAGGACCATACATAGACCAAAATTCCACAATATTTGCACAATGTTACATCCCGTGAGCTCAAATAATCTATACAGCTACTAGGGGCCCTTTTCCTTGCAATTTCCATCGCTACTTTATAGATTTTGGAATCATGAAGCACTTTAGTAACAGGGTTTCACAAGTTATGCGGAAAATAATCCAAATATCCTAGAAAAAAATTAATAAAAATATCCACATAAGAAAAAAATAAGCACCAAAAAATTCATAATATTTTTCAGATTTTATAAAAATTCACAATTAATTCACAACAGATAATGATAATCGAAAATATTTCCGGCTCTGCTGAACTCTATACAGGATAGATTCAGTTTTGTTTGTTCAACAAAAAAAAATTGATAAATTTGGAACAATTCAGGAATACTGTCACTGTGCTATCAGCTAATTTAATGCATAAAAGAAACTTAAGGTACTTGCAAAGCCAAAAATTGAATTAGAAAAAAGGCCCATAGCTACCAAAATCGTAGAACATAGTCAGAATTGCCAACAAACACTTCCACCTTCTGGAACATCGCAGGTAAAATTTGAGATTTGAGAGTCAGTTCAACCACGTGACCCAACTCAAACAACAGAAAGACTGATGCAACCTTTCACCAGCTAAATGAAAACATTATTATCATGAGAAGCACAGAAACATTTACTTCTGGGTTTGATCATGCACTTCATCTCAAATAGCATAAATTAAAATTGTCTGTAACATAAACAGCAAAACATTTTCCAGAGATCACATGTATTCATTTTATTTTTCCCATTTTCATTTTGGGGACGGGAAGAGATCCCACTCAAAGCAAACAGCTGGTGATTGGAGGGCATGCCTTCTCCTCATTTCATATCTATAAGTCAAGATTTTAAAAGCATTCATAAAGTAATTCAAAGGAGATAAATATAATACAATATATTTCCATTCTTGAAGCAAACACATCAAATTCGCGAGATGCAGTACAAAACCCGAAGATTCCCAAAATTTCACAAGCCCACCACTGTACAATATCTATTGTAGGACTAAATCACTAAATCACACATAAACAGCATCAAATAAATAAAATAAAAAATAAATAAAATAAAATAAAATAAAATAAAATAAAAACCAGAACATCACCACAAAAATCATGAGCAAAGCATTGGCATAAACAGCACAAATTTCAAGCTTAGGAAAACGACAATGAGTGCAAGATCGATTCAAGAGCAAATAAAGAGAGAAATGAGGCATGAAATGATGAGAATTTTGGGTTCATTCATAGAGTGATACCTTAGAAGAATGTAAGAAAGAGTCTAGCCAAGAGGTATGCCTCGTCTTGGCCTGGCCCTTGGGTTTAAACACCTGAAAGAATTTAATATGCCTCGTCTTTCTAGAATCGCATGGAGATTTTGAAATTTTAATAAGGGTCTTCTTTTTGAAATTTCGAAATTAGGGATAGTTTTTTTTTTTTTTTTTGTTAAAACGAAATTAGGGATAGTTGTTTGCTTTTTAAAGCCTCCTTTTAAGTGGTAAATGAGTTGATTTCTCAAAGTTTTCCTTTCTTAAATGCTTTCAAGTCCGTTTGTCAAATCTATTTCTAGGCTACAATTCCGGCCTGTTGGAGTTGCAGCTTCAGTTGAACCCAACATATAAAATATTCAATTCAAATCCAATCTTATATTGAATTCTAACCCAATTCATTTTTGTGGCCAATATCCACATTGATATTTTAATGTAATCTTAAATTAATTTCAAATTAATGATTATAATTTAAAATATTAGGATTAATTACACTCACAACCCCGATGTTTGACCTATTGACAGTCAAATGAAAGTTTGCTTCTTTTTAAACAATGAGGCTCCCTCAAGTTTGATAAAATTAACAAAGCACCCCTATAGTCACTTGTCACATGGTGAATTGACAGTATTACCCTTTGACTTTTATATGTCATTTTATTGGACCAAACTAACCCTCATCTTGTCTCCCCTTTCGCTTTCTACACAAAACTGTCCACCCGCTCTCTCTATTTCCACCTCTACCACCATCACAGTCACCACCACCATCATAGTCCTTCACCACAAAAACATATATATATATATATACACACACACACACACATATACAAAGCATTGGCAATCTCCACCACCATCCATCGAAATTGATTTTAGAGAATCTTTGAAGGTTTAAACCCAAAAAAAAAACACACAACAACTCAGACTATCAACTTATTAAAGATCAACCCTTAATCAAAATCAAAATCTTTTGAAATTGAAACCTTCCAAAGGTAATCAATCAAATTAACCAAGACCACCATCAAACTACCCTATAAACTTACAGTACCTCTTGTTGGGCCGTCCAAGCAGCAAATTAAACATCAAAAAGTTTGAGTTAGAGAGAAAATGAGAAGAATTTAACTGAAACCCAATACAATATATACATAAATAATTCAACACACACTGATCATATATATATATATATATATATATATAAGAGGAGAGAGAGTATAGTTAAACCCAATACAATATATATACATAAATAAATCAACACACTGATCATAAGAAAGAAAGGATGAGATCTGAGCTTACAAAGAGAATCTCCGATGAGAAAGCTTCAAATCCCCAGAAACCAGCCAAATCCAACTCAATAAAAAAAAAAAAATTTAATAATAATAAAACTCATCAAATCAACGATTTGCACTGGCACACAATATTGTAATTGTTGGTAAGCAACTCGGATTTGTATCCTTGGCCTTCAGAATCGGCGGCGGCTCGCTCTCATTTCTTCTCAAATCAAAGAGTCGTCATTCTTGTACAGCCTTATGGTCCACGATTCCACATCCTCGTCGACTCTACACTTCAACACGGCTTGCTCTGGCAACTCAGTCATCACTCTGGTGCTCGATCAGATCTCCAAATTCGATCCGTTCTTTTACGTCGGCTCAAAGGACTCGGCGTCTGCGGTTAGATCCCCTAAATCTCGCCATGGGATGCAACCAATCAGTAGGTGTCCAGAGGACAGCGCCTCCATTAGGTGATAGGTTAGAAAGAGAAAGTAGTAAAATGAATTAAATAATAAAAAATAATTATAATGGGCATTTTGGTCATTTTGCACTTCTGATATTTTAATGAATTAAATAATGAAGGGTTATATAGACATTTCACATGTTTTTTAAAAGAAAAAACTTATAGGGGGTATCAATTTTCAAAAAATGGCTAACTTTCATCTAACTGTCAATATATCAAACCTCAGGGGGCGTGAATGTAATTAACCCTAAATAATTATATATAATGTATTTAAAATAAAATTTATATAAAAATAATATTAGAATTCGGGTTAATAGTACCTTAACCCAAGCATAATCTTAATTAAGTTCAAGTTGATATTTTTCAACCAAGACCCAACCTTAATTGTAAAAATAATTATTTAGGCCCGTGAAAAATCTTGAGTTGGTTCGAACTACCGAACCCAAATTACACACCTCTCTATTTATATAATTGAGGAATTTATATCCCTATAATATAACGAATGGGGCTCATACTCGAGTTTCTTCACTGTAACAAAGGATAAAAACTCTTTTCATTGGACTTGTCAGGTAAACAAATCGGTTTAAATAATATTATTTCATATTAAGTGAGTGAAAAACCTCTTAAGTTACAGTCATAAAATAAACAAATAAGTCTAAATAATATTATGAAAGCGTAATGCATATTGGGCATGAAAAAATGGGCTTATGCCTAGTCAATTCTTCAACAAGCCATCAGAGGGAAGATTGGAGTGGGGGCTCTTTTAAGCATAGTTAGCTAAATGATCGGAATAAGAGGATTGCCTATCGAGGAAGAGAGTTGTCTATTGAGGAAATTGCCCATAAATTATAAAATAATATATTTATTAACTTACACAAAGAAATAAAATAATAAATAATTTATTACTAAATAACTTTAAATAATATATCAATCTCACTTTATAATTATTTTTAAAAAATAAATGCTATAATATAATGAACAAAAATACATAACAATGAATCATTGAATTTAACATATACTAATCTCAACAATACAAAATTAACATAGTAATATAAATTAAGAAATGAAAACGATAATTGTAAAATAGGTAAGAAAGTGCTTGTTTGATGAGAAAACATGTGTAAATATATTGACCTATAGCTGATAAGCTTGATAGTCATCCCCTTCGTACATGTATTAGCGAAAATTAATCAGATCCAAGTAGGGGTGCGCTAAAGAACCGGAACCGTGGAACTGGAACCGGAACCGTGAGAACCGGAACCGTTTTTTTCGGTTCTCACGGTTCCGGTTCCAAATTTAGGAACCGTGGTTGTACCGTTTCGATTCCGGTTCTAGCCCATGGGAACCGGTAAGAACCGGAACCGTATATAAATTTTATTTATGGGTAAAGTACAACCATACCCCCGAGGTTTTGCAAAAGGACACTTAAATGAAATTTATCGATTTTTTGGACAAAGATACCCCCTGAAGGTTTAAAAATGGATAAAGACACCCCTTTACATGAGAAATTGACCAAATTACCGTTTGACCGTTTAGGAGACTTTTTTAACTTTACAATTTAATAAATTGGACCAATTTACCCGTATGAACAATTTATGCATTAAAAAAAAAAAAGTAACAAAAAAAAACCCTTATATTGTTCACCTTTTTTTTTTTTTTTTTGTTATTTACTTTATAAATGTCCCAACTTCTTAAAAATGTAAACGTCTAAAATGATTTTTTGATCCAATAAATATATTTCAAATAAATTATACGTTGTTATTACTTCTTTTCTTTTTCTTTTTTATTTTTAAATTAAGATACTTAATTTTTTCATCTAAAAAAATTAAACCAATCTCTTTTTCTTAAAATAAAAAATATGGTACCAGTATAACTTTATGCATCTTAAATTAATATTATGCATTTCCCCACATAAAAGGGAAAAAAATAATAATAAAACAAAGGAAAAAAACAAATAATAAAACAAAGGGGGAAAAAAAAAACAAAAGGCATGCATAAAGTTATACTGGTATCTATTTTCTTTTATGTTGGAAAATGCATAATATTTGATATATAATTTAAGATGTATAAAGTTATATTGGTACCATATTTTTTATTTTTAAGGAAAAGAGATTGGTTTAATTTTTTTTAGATGAAAGAATTAAGCATCTTAATTTAAAAATAAAAAAGATAAAGAAAAGAAGTAATAACAAAATATAATTTATTTAAAATATATGTATTGAATAAAAAAAATCATTTTAGACGTCTACATTTTTAAGAAGTTAGGACATTTATAAAGTAAATAAAAAAAAAAAGTGAACAATTTAAAGTTTTTTTATTTATTTTTTTATGCATAAATTATTCATGAGGGTAGATTGGTCTAATTCATTAAATTATAAAGTTAAAAAAGTTTACTAAACGGTCAAAGGGTAATTTGGTCAATTTTTTTATGTAAAAGGGTGTCTTTGTCCATTTTTGAACCTTTAGGGGGTGTCTTTGTCCAAAAAATAGGTAAATTTCCTCTAAGTGTCCTTTTGCCAAGCCTCAGGGGGTGTGGCTGTACTTTACCCTATATTTAATTATATAAAGTAACTAAAAAGTCTAAACAATTACTACTATTTAAGGCAGCCACCGACACCAAACCACGTGGTCCTAAGCTAACCACAAAAGAAAAAGTGAAAAACAATTAGTAAAACATACTTTTTTAAAAAAAATTTGCCCTAAGCCTAAACAATGAACATCGATTCAGAATTTTAGTCCTCGCCTCCTCTCTTCTAAACCTAAACCCAAGCTAACCCTCGCCTCCTCTCATCGTCTTCGCCTCCTCTTTAGTCTCATCTCGTCGATTCAGTCTTCACTGAGTCACTCCTCATCCTCTCATCTTCAGATCTTCTCATCAGTCATTCATCCTCACTCCTCATCCTCTCATCTTCTTTTCTCAGTCACCATCTTAGACTTCTCAGTCAAGTGACTCCTCTAGACTTCTCAGTCAGCGACACGGTCATACGGTTTCTCCGATCTACACCCACACACCGTCTCAGGCCAGCAACATAAAGTTTTTCAGTTTATCTAGAAGAATTTCAAACTATTAGTATTTTATTTTGGGATGTAATATTATAGATTTTTTCGGATTTTAATTTCAAACTATTAGTATTTCAAACTATCAGTTTTAATTTTTTTGTTTTTACAATATCAGTTTAATTTCTGTATTATGAATTTATCTAAATTTATATTTTTGTTGTTGTATTCGGTTAAGTAATGGATAACTACTGATTCTATGATTCATTAAACAAGGGTACAACAGGGGAAAAAACTAAAAAGAGCAAACAGTCTTATGGCTAGAAGTTAAGAGTCGGTTCTCATGGAACCGAACCGGTATTCACGCTTCGGTTCGATTCCATACCTATACGGTTCCAGTTCCGATTTTAAGGAACAGTTATGAATGGTTCCGGTTCTGGTTCCGACCGGAACCGTGTGCACCCCTAGATCCAAGATACAACTCAATCAGTTTGCAACGGCGTCTCCTCTATATGCACTATCACGTAAAGTCTAGGTCCAGGTCTATAAAAGTTTCATTGCTCATAAACTCAATATGTAAAAATACTCTCAAGGAAGAAAAGTGTCACTCACAGGATAGGCTCACACGCAAAGCGTCGCTCTATATTTTCAATATACCAAAAGAGAGAGAGAGAGAGAGAGAGAGATATATATATATATATATATATATTATAGAGAGAGTAAAAAATGTAATGGCTAAAGTATTACAATGATAGAAATTATTATTGAAATAATATTCCCAACAAATATAATTTAACTCCTCTAATAATATCATTATAATATGATTTAATTAGTTTTTATTAAAATATTCATAATGGTGCCCACATTCGTTATTCTAAATTGTCATTGGGCACTTGCCCAGGTGCACCAATCACAACAGCGTGGTTTTCAGTCAAGTTTATGGCTGTTGTGACTGATGGTTTTCAATCAATTAACTGAGATGAGTGCCATCGCTAGCACTGTTTTCATGATGATTAGGTCATCTGCACCAGTCTCTTCGAATTTTGCCTCTCTAAAAATGCCACTTCAGCTTTTCCAAGAGCCACGTCAGTAATTCCAAGAGCCACGTCAACAGCTTTTGCTCTCCAGAAACATGCATTCCATCAGGCTTTTCGAATTTTCAAAAAAATATATGTATATTAAAATTAAAATTATTATTATTTTTTTAACTTTTCTTAAACGGCTATATTTCTAACTGCTATATTTTTAATAGCTATATTCGTAACGGCTATATTTTTCATCTTATACAATGAATACTCATTTGCTCATCTGAAAATCATCACTACATTCATCTCTCTCCATTGTACCAAAGTATCATTATCCATCTTTTTCAATTTTGAAATTCCAATGGCTTCGTCATCACAAGCTTTTCCTTTGGCAGACTTTAATTCTTCATCTTCCTCGTCATCCTCTTCGGAAAATGACCCTTTTGGGGCGTTGATTCAACATGATCAAGACGAATTCTATGAGATTATGAATTCAATGAGGCCATAGATAGTTGAGCAAGTATTTCAAGTCTATAAAAAGAAGCGGTACATTCTTCGTGACCGAGAGGGAAACCACTATCAGTTAATGAAAGAGTACTTCGACGAAAATTGCACATATCCACCGGAGTACTTTCACATGCGATTTAGGATGCGACGAGAACTTTTTCTTCGTATCTTTAATGATGCCAAAGCTTATGATGACTACTTTGTCCAAAAAAAGGATGTGACTGGTCGTCTGGGGTTGTCTTCTACACAGAAGATGACAACTGTTTTTCGTATACTCGCATAGAGTTGTGCAGCCGATCACTCTGATGAGTCTATAAAAATCGGCGAGAGCACTGTCATTAAATGTTTGAAGGCATTTTGTAATACTATTGTTGATGTGTATGCAGAGGAGTTTATGCGTCCACCCAACGAAGTCGACATAGCACGGCTGCTTGAAGAAGGGGAGCAGAGAGGATTTCTGGGTATGCTTGGTTCTATCGATTGTATGCATTGGGAGTGGAAGAATTGCCAAGTGGAGTGGCACGGCACAGATAGGGGACGATCTGGCAAGAATACTCTCATATTGGAAGCAGTTGCCTCACAAGATTTGTGGATCTGGCATGCATTCTTTGGAATGCCGGGTTCACATAATGATATAAATGTGTTGGATCATTTCCCGGTATTTAACGGTATCGTCAATGGCCAATTACCTCTGGTTAATTATGTAGCGAATGGACATCACTATAGAATGGGATATTACCTGTCTGATGGTATATACCCTAAGTAGGCAACTTTGATGCAGACCATCCCGCACCCAATTACTGGAAAATAAAAATTATTTGCTCAGCGACAAGAGGCATGCAGGAAAGATGTGGAATGGGCTTTTGAGGTATTGCATATCAAGTTGGCAATAATGTAAGGACTAGAGCGTTACTGGGAGAAAGTGTGCCTCATAATGAATACGTGCATCATCCTTCACAATATGATCATTGAAGATGAGCGTCACACAAATGTTGGAAGATAGACTCTGCCACCGGAAGATGCAATCCCGATTCCCACTTGAAGTCGATGCCCATCAGTTTTAGCAGTACACATATTCTCTCGCTAACTTCAGATTCGCAACAGAGAGACAAATACGTGGGTAAGGAATGATTTGATGGAAAATTTGTGGAACCGCTACAGTGACGAAGATGTTTAATTTATATTGCATTTTGTTTGCTTTTAAGATGTTATGACATTTCGTGTGCTAGAATTTTTATTATGTAATGATTTTTTAAGATTAAAAATAATGAATTGGAATAAGAAAATTAGCATTACAAAATCCTATGCGAATAAGTAGGTGAATTTGTAATTTTAATTTTTTTAAAACAAAATTTTTAAAAAAAAATTTATATATTTGTTTAAAAAAATTATAGTCGTTAAGGCACTATTTGTGTCAGTCAAACAATGTCATAACGGCCAAATGCATTGTTTGTGGTACACATTTAAAATTTAAAGCAAAAAAAATAAAAATAAAAAAACGAATTTGAAGGGGAAAAAAAAAAATGAAGGCTTTTTAAATATATTTTTGGCCCAAATAAAATTTATTTTAGACAAACAGTGCCTAAATAATATATTTTTTATTTAATGAATTTTATTTTATTTTTTATTTTAAAAAAGGAGCTTAAAATAACCTATTTTTAGGTTTTTTTTTAAAAAAAAATTCTGCCAAAGGCACTGTTTGGCCACTGTTCCAGGAGCGTCAGAATAAAACAAAAAAAGGCAACCAAAAACGGCGCTGTTTTTCAACAAAAAAAATATTTAGCGATCGCGGGCCGGCTTGCTAAATATCGCGAGCCGGCCCGCGAGTAAAATTGGGCTCTACCATTTTTGGCTAGGCTGCTGCACGCTGCACTCCCAAAAGGCCTTTTGCTCGCGGAAAATGGGCTTCCGCGAGCCCGCTGCAGTTGCTCTTATAAGGGTAAATTATACGAACCTCCTCTAAAAATGAAATGTTGTTACACAAATTATATATTTTTAATTCAAGACACTATTTCCAACACTTATAAACATGTTTGAGATCATTAATACTCAAACTCGGATCATTTGGAACACTTTTGAAGTAAACAGGTTCCTAGAGCTCGAACACAACCTCCTTATGCTCTAGCACTGGGTATCGAGACGGTGATTGTGCTCAAGCACAAAGTCGCTGCAGCAGTTTTGCAGATCTGTTTTAGGTTTGTAAATCCATCGTTTCACCCCCGAATTGCGTACTGTCAACCCCAAATAAATTCTAAGATAATTCTTACATAAACACATCCATATATGTCAAAATCAATAAGTAGAAACACCAAAACGGATTTAAATAAATCATGTTCTTCATCCCCCCCAATACATATATCAATAAATACACATTAGTTTAATCCATGTTTTTAATCCTATGTCTAGGTGATTTAGCATGCAATTTAGTCTGAGATCTTGATACCCAAGATGTAAAACTTACGGGTTCTCAAAAGGAAAAGTAGAGAAGAACTCGTTTGAAGGTTTCGAAATGAAATCGATACATTGCAAGCTTCCTAGTCGTCTTTCTCAACTTCGGTAGCCTCCTACGTTGTTGCCTTCCTTCTTCACTGGTCCGACCTGCTTCCCTTCTTCCTTCTTTCTCTCTCCAAGACCACATCCTTTGGTCCAGACTTCCTTAAACCCAATCCAATTAACTTAAATAATTAAAACAATTAAATTAAAAGATTAATTACACAAAATTACAAACACTACACATAAACATGTATACAAGCGTAATCATATACTCAACCAAATAATTGCATACAATTTACATAACACAAACATGCCACATAACAATTAATTAGTTAATAATTTAAACATTCAATTAAAATAACATGAATCAATTTAAAAACAATTAAATTAAATATATAAATCCTTTAAAACATAGGGGTATTACATTTTTCCCCCTAACAAAGAAATTCCGTCTTCGGAATTCACCAAATCCATGGCTTGAAACTGTTTTTTTATTTTATTTTATTTTATTTTATCCCAAATTTCACTTTCCTTTCCTAGGTGTTCTTTGCCTCATTATAAAAAGTTTTGATTTACAATTTTTCTATTTCCAGAGTTACAAATTAAGCAGGCCTAATTATCATACCTGCACTGTTAGATTATTTGGTTTACATTGCCACTAGCATTTTTCATGAAAAAAAAGATACATGTTTACGAGTCATTGTGTGCTATCCTCTTAAAAGAGAGTTTGAGTATTCGAGCCCTGCTAGATGTAATATTATGAGTGTGCGCGCGTTTGGTTGAACATTCGAAAAAAAAAAATTGTGACAAATCTAAATAAAGGAAAGGGATCATATTCAACTTTTTATAATCTTATGCTCCACTTTTCTTTTCTTTTCTTTTTCTTTTTCTTTTTTTTTTTTGAAAAGAAATAAAAATATATATATTTTAAAAATACACTTACACCCTATGACGATGTATGCGATCCAACTTAAAGAAACTTTTATCATAACTATTTGGACCTGACTACATAAATCTTATCTGGATTTTGTGGATTGGATGAATTAAAGCTTTCATGGCTTTGTCTAAACCCATTCAGAAAAATATTTATTGATGCTATGCTTTTATTTATGATTAACATCCAAGTATAAAGTTAAATTGGTCTTGTTTTTTTGACTGAAATTCTATATATATATATATATTATTATTAGATACTACAATATTGCTTTTCAAAAAGTATAATACATCTTAGGCGATTCATCTCCGAACCAAATAAAAAACCCATTCAGTTATATAATAATCGCTCTCTATCTCTATTTTTATTTTAGGACAAAATGCAAAAAATTCTCCTAAGCTATGTCCAAATTTTTAAATAACTCCCCGAAGTATTTTTTATTTATTTTTTATTTTTTGCATAAAACCTTCTAAATTATCACATTTAGTTACAAAATACACCATTGTCTTAACTATTTTTCATTAAATAACCATAATAACCTTTTTTATTGAATTAGATCTATTTTTCTTGTTGAAATAAATTATGAAAAAAAATCATACTAATTTGATGAAATATTCTCCATTAAATTTGCATTATTTTGCCTTTAATTTTGAAATTAATTATTTAAATAAAAATAATCAGTGGAAAGTTTTCAAATAATTTAAGTAATTTCTTAATTTTTCATGAATATGTTGCATAAAAGAGAAGATATTTTTTATTTACATAATTTATTAATATTGCATAAAAAAGAAGATATTTTTTATTTACGTAATTTAATAATTTTTCATGAATATTGAATGAAAAAGAAGGTACTTTTTTACACTAATTTTTTTTTTTTTAAGTGAGTATAATAAATTAATCATTTTAAAAAATGGTAGCTACTAATCTATTTATTATTTTCCATTTTATGTTAAATTGATACTAATTTTAAAATTAAAGTAAAATAGTCTTTTGTGATGAATTTATTCTTAATTGCAACAAATTAATAGTTTAAGGAGGCAATCTTTAATTCAGAGAAATTATTTGTAAAACGACAATAATTTAGATAAATTTTTTACACTTTGCCCTTTATTTTATAAAAATGTTTAAACCCATTAAGCTATCTAATCCTCTTTCTCTATTTTATTTTTATTTTTATTTTTATTTTAATCTCAATGATCTCACTATAGACATTGGATATTCAAATTGCTATTTATTAAATTTAACATCTTATTTTTTTTTTTTTATATTTATCTCAATGATCTCACTACATTCATTGGAAAATACAAAGAGAAGAGTTGAACCTATCTGAAAGCCATGCCAATTCAGCTATCTTTTTACGTTCGTGATACTTGAAATTTATAATCTCTTATAGTTGATTTTAACATCTTGATTGGGTTACAAGAGACATTGAGAGGTTCTATCTTGTAATAATATTATTCTTTAGTTTCACAAGGATATATTTTTTTTTTTTTAATTTTTTTCCTTGAACACTCGGAATTTAAATATAGAATAATCGCATATATTCAGTGTCTAAGGAACTATCAAAATGTGTCAATTATTCGTTACAAAAAAAAAAAAAAAAAAGGGCTATTGAAATACAAAAAGTATAACTAAATGTATTTCACTAGCCTTCGTTTCTATTGAAATACAAAAAGTAGCAAAACTTGAAAGAGCAAGTCGGTGCAAGGAATCTCAACAGATGCGGACAAGTTTTAAGAGTCCAAAGTGAAGCCAAATTCAGAGAGAATTAAGAGCAGAATGAAATTAAATCCCTTACAATCAGCTTATTATCCCCTTGCCGAAAACATAATTAAAAAAAAAAATTCTGTGGAGACTCTCTCATAAGGAAGCCATTCCCTTGTAATAGAGTCAACTTATAACAACTCTGCTTAAGAAACTATAAATGGTTACTTCCAACCAAAACAGAGTATGGAAACAAAAGATGGAGAGAAACAAAAGCAAAAGCTATTGAGATACAAAAAGTAACAATACTGTAAGAGCAAGTTGGTCCTAGCTAGGGCATCTCAACAGATGCTGAGAAGCTATAAGAGACCAAAGTGGAGCCAAACTCACAATAGAGAATTAAGAGCTGAATGAATGCAAGGACGGGGCGTGGTCGGTGAGAGTCCGGAGGTCTTGGGGGAGGGCGAATGAAGAAAGAATTCTAAGAAGCAACAGCGATCTTGCTAGCCAAACAATACTTATAATGCCAAAATCAGATCGAGCATGTCTCTAATTCAGACAACTCACAGTCACAGTGTGATTTATATAGTGAAACAATGCATGCAAAGACATACAGGACAAGCAATAACTGTGGAGTCTCATATTAAAAATCTCATAAATAAGCTGTTTACTAAATCCATTTGAAAATAAAACCCGCATCTCTACCATTCCGTACTTGAAAATAAGACCATTTGAAAATCAACTTTGCCCACGCCTATGGGCAGCATAACCAGCCAACAGTGGCTTAGAAACCATCATTACCATAACCACCACCACCACCTCCACCACGATAACCGCCACCGCCACCGCCGCCGCCACTTTGTCTTTCAGTGGCATAAGTCACACGAATGCTCCGCCCATTCAAATCCTGAAAATAGTAAGTTAAAAAAAAATATAAATACAAGACTGAAGTATAACTTCATCATACTTCCCCAAACATTCTAATTCTCACCTGTCCATCCATAGCAGTCATCGCAGAGTTAGCAGATTCCTCAGAGGTGAAATGTACAAAGCCGAATCCCCTAGACCTTCCACTCTCTCTATCAACGATAACCCTCGCTGTGCACCAAAACCACAAAAAACTTGAGTATGCAAAAACTATGGGCGACAGCAGGAATTCGAAGGAAAGAACCAAACTGAAGGAAACGAAGATTATTACCTACTAAATAACCCACAAGACTGATAATAATTGCAAGCGTCATGTGAAAATAAAAATTCAAAAATAGATTGAACAAGTCTATCTATTTCGGTAGGAAAATGACTCACATGCACCCATTGGGCCGTTATTGTCCCATTGGAGATTCAAATCCTCAACCTTCCATTTGGAAGTAGGAGATACCAGTTGGACCAAGCCTTTGGTAACAAGTCTACTTACTTAAATTAAAATTTCTGATTTCTTTATTTTTTTCAAATAAAAAATAATAATTGAAAAAGTCAGTATTTAGTAATTGTCTCATATCCCTACTTGAACTGCCAAAATTTCAGCAAATTGCCCTTTAACAACCAGTCAACACTCAATACTTGCATTAATATAGAACAAGGGGCGTACAACCACTAAAGAAGAAATAGTGTATTTATTATACATATATAGATATGTACATACAAATGTATTTATTAACGTAGTTGTGTCCACATGTCCTAATCGACTTTCATGTTCACAAACTATAGGTGAAAGGATATAATTATCCAACTGAAGGACTTTCTAAAAAATTCTCCAATATTAAAATGTAACTTCCTCATCAAATGTTTCATTGTTATTCCGTAACCACATTTAGATATGAATACAGAAATAAATATATACATGTAACATGTCATGATCAAAAAATTAAAAGCTGCATACAACAGTTCAATAAATTATTTGTTCTTGTAAAAGGTAATATGATTCTATAGTACTTGAAAATCTTAAGTCTATAAAAGTTCTTCTATGATGAAACATGAATATAACAAGCATACTGATCTATGTAATAAATCCAATTCTAATTAAAACTCACCTTCAGTAACATCACCAAAGCTAGAAAATGCATCTTTAAGAGCCATGTCATCAGTTGCCCATGAAAGACCTGAATAAATAGATTAAAAATAAGTTTTCAGAGAATAGACATGAAACTTAAATGTATTAATTTTAGATTTGTTTTGCTAAATCGCATCAGGCAAGTACACACCTCCAACAAAAAGCTTTGATGACATGCAACGAATACAGTTAATCATAGATGCCATAGGAACTGGTCCATTTACTGCACTGTTCTGTGAAATGGTCTGCCTCAAAACGCCTCCGAATCTATTGCAGAATGCCATTTTGAATGTATTCCAAGAATCCTGCATGTATATATGAGGCGAAAGAGTCCAACTATGTCACTTTCTATGCTTTAAGTTTCAAATACTATAAATTGCAGGAATTTGTGCAAAAAAAATATATGCAACAAAAAATGCATATATTATAAAGATTTGCAAATTTCATAAAAATTCACAATGAGAATAAAAAATAATTCCAGAATTGCTGAATTATACAGCATAGATTACCAAAAAAAAAAAAAAGAAAAAAAAAAAAGAAGAGAACTTTGGAACAATTCAAGAATACTGTCAATGACACAGTGCTAATCAACTAATTTAAAACATACAGAAACTTGAAGCACTTGCAAAGCCAATAATTGACGGATAATATGCCTGAATCAGAATAAGGACCAAAGCTACTAAAATAGTATAACATAATCAGAATTGCCAACAAACAGTTCCACTTTCTGGAAACCTTCTCCAGCAACAGAAAGACTGATGCAACCCTTCTGCACCCAAATGAAACATTATTATGAATTCATTACAATTAAATTGACTTAGAATATACAACAATATTTTAACAATATATATATATATATATATAGAGAGAGAGAGAGAGGGAAAGATCATGAGAAGCACGGAAGCACAGAAACATTTACACCTGGGTTCGACCAGGCACTTCATTTCAAATGACATAAATTTGAGTTGTCAGTAGCATAAACAGCAAAACATTTTCAGAGACCACGTGTTTTTATCTTACTTCTTCCTCTTTTTCAAAGAGGAAAAAGACTTTCAGCAAAAACCATTTGACGAAATCACAAGAACAGAACATTAGTTAAAAAAATGATACGAAATAGAAATGCATGCAATACATATAGATCCGTTCCTGAAGCATATAAATGAAAATCGCGAGACACAATATAAAACCCTAAGGTTCATTTTTTCATCATTTTCACACTTCCATTTGCAAAACTTCACAAACCCACTACCAAACAACATGTATTGCACAACGAAATCACTAAATAACATACAAACAGCATCAAATCGAAGCAAAAAAACAAGAAAAACAGAACAAAACCACAAAAATATGAGTAAAGCACTCACATAAACAGCAAATTTAAGCTTAAGAAAACGAGAAATGATCGGTAGATCGATTCAAGAAAGATAAAGAGAGAAACGAAGCATGAAAATGTTTTGGGTTTATGTAGAGAGTTTACCTTCGAGAAATGATGCCAGAGATTAGAGAGAGATCAGGGTTTTAGAGGAGAGGAAATTTGAAAGAGCGGCTAGGGTTTATCACTCTCTCTCTATTTAGCAGATCATTTCACAACGAAAGATATCTTCTGTTCTTATAGGAAGTCGAAGTACTGATCGACAATTTGGTCTTTTAACATATACGCGACCGACCACTGAAGCATTTTTTTTTTTTGTTTTTGTTTTTTTTAATTTTATTTTTAAATTATTTGACCTAAAACACTCATCAAAATCTTATCTAATTTTTGGATATGCTTTAGGTGTGGGCCATATTTATCACTTTGAAACCCAAATTAATGTTTTGGTTTTAGTTATTGGCCAAAATATTTGCACTCTATATTTTTTTCAATTACATTATTTTATTATTTTTTTTAAAAAAATTGACAAGTAAATCTTTAAATTCATTAATGCACAATTTCTTAATTTATAATATTTTAATTACTCCCCTTTTTTTTTAATCTTTTTTGACCTTTTTTACTTTCTTTATTATTTTTTTTCCTTTCTTTTTGTTTTTTCCGAAAGTTCTTTCAAAGAAAATAATTTATTCTATACTAATCATTTTATTTTTGGCAGTGAAAAGAGATAATTTATTCCATAGTAACTTCTTCTTCTTCTTTTTTTTATTCTTCTTCTTTTTTATTTTTTTTTAATTTTAATTTTCATTTTTTTTTGTACAATGAAAAAATATATTTATTCAACAAAATTGATTTTTTTTCAATTTTGGCAAAAGAGGTAACTTTAATTTTTGGTAATTTTTTATGAGTCCTGTTAAAAGAAATAATTAATTCAATAAAAATAACATTTTTTTAATAGATAATTTATTCAATAGAAATAATTTATTTTTTTAATCATCTTGTACTTTTTATTATTATTATTTTTTTAGAATCTTGACAACAGAGATAATTTATTCAATAATTATATTTTTTGGGAATTTTTTTTCTTCATGTCAAAAGAGATAATTTTTTTAATGATTACTTTTTATTTTTGTCCTTTTAAAAAATATATATTCAAATTTTATTTTATTTTATTTGTATTGTTAAAAGATACTTAAAATATTAAAGATTAGATATAAGGAGAAAAAAAATGAAAGAGAAATTATAATAATTATTTACTTGTAAAGATAAGATTAAAATTATCATTTTATTTAAGATTATAATGCAAATGTTAAAAAGTAAAATGTAGATATCACATCTCTTGTTATTATTCATTCGTTTTTATTCGTCAATTATATTTATATATATATATATAAATCCTAAACTACAACATTGGATATGGATAATGAGAGGTACATGTTGCATTTGATTTGACTTTATTGATTGTATATTTTTTTATTTTAATTTCAAGGTATAAATTTAGAGCTCTAAAATAATAATAATAATAATCATAATAATACTCTTTATTACATGATAATTGATCTCTGAATGACGACGGCCAATAGATACATGCTTACATGGCATCATGTATTTGATAAATCTAAATAAAGTGAAGAGACACGTATTTCTATTATTATTAATTTTTAATCTTACACCACAATTTTCTTTTTAATAAAAATCTTTTATTTTTTTTTAATTTTTTTTTTTACGTTTCTTTAAAAATTCTCTTACAATTTATAAGAGGTAAAATCATAAAACAATTAGAACTATTAATTTTCAAAAATCTATTATGTCACAACCCGTCCCACCTCATTCCGGATAAAAACCTTAAATAAATTCGTTGTAGTGATGACATGGTCTCACCAACTTATTAAACAATGTCATTTAACATTACCCACCAAAATAAAGCACTTTGACTTATATGACATGATACAATTGGTTGATGACACATATAACGAAGTATTAATAGTGTAAGTTTTTCTCTCATTTGTTTTCCATTAAAAAGTAACCGAACACCAACACGTCAGTGCCAAGTACCAATTTTTAAATATTATATGAATAAAATGCCTTTTAACCTCTTAATAACCAAGATACTTTTTTAAGGATTAAAATCATTAAATCCTCGTATACTATCCAATTCAATCACATAATCCCATATACTAGTAAAATGCCTTTTAATCCTTAAACCATGAAGGTCAATTTTGTCATTTTACAAGTTCGTTAAAAGCTCGGTTATGAAATAGAGGTAAAAGGATCAACTTTGTTAATTTTAAAGATAATTTATTAGTATAGCCGGTTATGTATTTTGGGATAGTATAGGATTTTTTTATGATTATTTATAATTATGTAATCAACTCAATTAAAAATAAATAAAAAATCTCTAACTTTTTGTATTCATATGCGTTTAAATCTTATTTTTTTATTTGGTTCTATTCCGGCCTCAATTAAATCATATTACAATTCAAGTTGTACAGCACAACTAAATAGAGTGTAACTGTTTTTGTTTGGTTTATATATATATATAATTGTGGAGTGTCCTTTTTAAAGATAATTAAGTCATTTTCTTTTCGGTAACTAAATATGCATAAAAGTGAAAATGATAATTACAACTATACTTGGGGCATCCCACAAGATGGGCCACAGGTCCAAAATAATCCTAAAAGGATAAAATAACAAGAAGAAGGGTAAAACAAAAACAAGAAAAAAACATATCCAGCCCAAAAGAAAAGGCCCAAAAATAAGCCCACCATCAGAAACGGACTCTAACTAACTATCTAGGCGGGTTAACCAACGAAGTCGATGAACGGTCTTAAATGGCAGAGATGATTTGTTCTTTAACATGTGATTTTTTTTTTTTCATACATGGTAAAGCCAGAGTAAATTTCCAAGTTAACACCATGCTGAATTTCAATTTTGGTTGGATTGTAAAGTAATGGCTAGCCACAGTATAAGGATTGAGGGGCTAAATAAGAAAAATCTCTATATTATCGTTTAAGTTTTCTGTAGTAGAATCTCGTCCCCTTTCAAAGTGAAAGAAGGTTTAAGGTTCGAGTCTTCCCAAGAATATTGTGGGTGCAGGTTTGCTTGTTACTTCCGTTTTCTGATTTCGAATGATCCATTTGTTAGAATTCAGCCGATCAATATATATATGTATTTTATAATGAAAAACTTATAACGAATAATTAACTCAGCTGTTAATTACTTTGAAACTTTTAATGGTTTGTAAACTCTGAATATGTGCAATCACTCGTAAATCATGTAAATCATGTGGAGGTTATTTGTTAGGATTGTCTGTTGCTTCCATTCCTTGACTACGAAGGATTCATTTCATCACTGAGCTAAAATTGAGGTTATCATTATATATATATTTAATAACAAAGAATCAACTCACCTAATCACTTTAAACTCTCCAATGACTTATAAACTTTGAATATTTACAATTATTGACAAATCACACATCATTTAAACTCAGGTTATTATTCGACTTTGAGGAGGCCCAGGACGACATGGGCCGGATCTGACTTGCAAGCACGACATCCGGTCCGTATAGCTGGGTCGGCCCATAAAAAGACACTGCCATATGGGTCGAACGCGAATAAGCCCATCAAAGGTGACCAGGACTTATGGAGGAACAGGCCCAGATCCAGCAATCCGTCAATATTTGTAAATATCTTGTAAATATCTATAAATAGGAGAAGGAATGGAAAGAATGAGGGAGATCTTTTTGTTGAAATGTAAGAATTCTAGAGAGAGAAAGAGAGTATGAATTTCTTGCATCTTCAATTGGCGCCGTCTGTGGGAAGCGCATGGAAGTTTGGTTGATCAATGAGGAATATCGAGTGGATTTAGACCAATTCGGTTGATCGAGACTCGATCTTTGGGATTTGGATCCAGATCTGAGCGATTGTGACCTACTCTGGAGGAATTACAGTTCTTGAAGCTTTGGCAGAAGTGGCTTCAGATCTACGCAACAACGAGTTGTTCGATTGTGGCAGGATCTGACGGATTTAGAGTTCAGACAATTCAGATCTCGTAAACGGTGAGCATAATTCGGAGAATTCGAAACCAGATCTGAAAAATTCCCACTCACGAAGCTCGGATCTACTCGCGAACTTGAGATTAATGCCTTTACTCCGTTCAGGAATAATGATAGGTGAAAGCTCCAATCCGATGGAGGCTGTCCAGCAAACAAAGCTTGAGGAGTTGATGAACTTGATTGAAGCTCTCAAAAAAGAGAATGCAGAATTGAAAGCTGGAATGCAACATCGGCAAATACCTGCGGTTTCGCATCCACTTCCGGTCGGTGAAGGAGGTGTTCAATCTAATATCGCGCGTCAAGGCGAGCAGGACGAGAACAATCAGTCAGCTCACCACCGTGATGAAAGGATGATGGACAATTTGCCGCCAAATGTTCGTCGAGTTGAGGATCACGAAGGATCGACTCACGTTGATCCGCGACATGAGCAGATTAGACGGAATGAAGCCATAACCTTCGATCCGCATCGGGAAAGGTTCGACCGAGAGGAAGTGATAGAGGTTGATCGTCGTCGAGTAGCGTCGCCTTGGCAAAGAGAGTTCATAGAGGAACGGTCGTTCGATCCGTCTTACCGGCCCTCCATGGCTACTATCACTCATCGCGGTTCGGAGGGCAGAACCGTAACTCACAAAGCTACCGCTGGACTCCAGAGAGAGAATGAAGCTCTCCGATCCGCAGCTCAGACGGTTGATTCACCATTCACCGACGAGATCTTGAATGCCCCGCATCCAAGGAAGTTTGCTATGCCAGTCTTTATTCTGTTTGACGGAACAACCGATCCGATCGATCATGTGTACCATATCCAGTTGAAAATGGCCCTGAATACGGAAAACGACTCTTTAATGTGCAAATGTTTCCCTACAAGCCTAGCCGGACCGGCGCTCAGCTGGTTCAAAAACTTGCCTAGGAGCTCCATTGGTAGCTTCAGAAACCTGTGCGATTGGTTCATAAGCCAGTACTATGGGAACAAGCGCCCGCCGAAGGATATCTCGAGCCTATTCACGATGAGGCAGCACAAAGATGAACGTCTCCAGGCTTTTCTTACCAGGTTTAATCTCACTAAGAGTATGGTGATCGAATGCCACCCTTCTACAGCAGTTCAAGCCTTCAAGTTAGCCATGACACGTGGAACTCCGTTTCACACCAGTCTGGCAGTGAACACGCCGACTACTATGGATGAACTCAATGAAAGAGCCGATGGC